CTCATGCAAGAGAGTTACAAGCACTCTTAATATTTCACCTACAGAACTGAACTGAAAACATATCCAAAGCAATTATATAGAGATTCACTTTAGTTTTAATCTCTTGGTTAGAAAATAACTCATCTTCCCTTTCAGTTTGCAAAGAATAGATAAATTTTGTTTTCCTGCCAAGAACTTACCAGTTCGAACTGAGATTTTTTGTGCTATCATTCTTCCTCCAATCACTGCTAGGCCAGTACACAAGCTATGCCCAACTGTTCCACCCACTGCCACACCATAGGGGTCCTGTGTCAAAGACGTAAGAAGAACTTTCAGTGCAGTTTAAAAGCTACAGATTTCAGTGCAGTTTAAAAGCTGCTGATACTGCAGTTGCTCAGGAAGGATGCACTGATACTTCCAAAGGCCACAAACAGATAAAACACACAGAGAATGTACTGTCAGCCACATCCACCCTTAGTTAATACCCAGAGAGATTTCACTAGAGTGTCATTCCTGGAATAACAGAAAATAGCACGATCATTTAAAGGAGAAAACTAGAAACAAAAAGTGCTGTTCCAACTCAGTTTAAATGCTCACCTCAGCAGCAGGAGGAGAACCATATTTCTTTTCTGATATAGCTTAAATCAATTGGACACAATAAAAATGCAATTAAAATGTATTAATTTTAAACCAAAAAACTTGACTAGTTACATAACAGCACTTGTACATAGCAGCACTTGCACTTCCAGGTCTTCACAGAGGTCACTGTGAATTGCCCTTGTGTCTGACTCATCGTCATTGCTATGCCTGGTAACTTCCATGGAAGCAACAATTTAACATACAGAATATAAAATCAAAAACTCCTGGGTCTCAAAAGCAGTCCCATGACTGCAGGTCCCATCAGTCTTCTGTGTAGACGTAAGCAAGTTCATGTCCTTTTTCAGATATTTCAAATCTACTGACTGCACTCCACAGGGCATGCATTATAACTGTCCCTTTAAAAACTGACCAGAAACCTGAGCACTGCAAGCAAGAACCCAAGAGAAAAAGATTTACTATGCTGCTTAAGGCTCGAATCATAATATTAATCTATCAATACCAATTAGATCCTGAGCATTTTGTTCTGTAACCTTTGATCACGTACATTTCTTATACAGTTGACTCACCTCTCTTGCTGCCAGAACAATGGTGGTCAACTGAGAGCGGTCACCCCATTCAGCTAAGAAGGTTAAAGTAAATGCTTGCACAAAAATTGGAGAAATAAAATGCAGACATTTCTTCTGAGGTATTGCAGGGCCTGTACCCGTTTCTACATCTCCAGGCCCATTTAACAGTTTCATTCTCTGGAGCTAGGAAAAGAAGCAGCTGTCAGAAAACTTGGGAAACTACAGTCAGATCCAAGGAGTGAATACTATAGATATACAGATTTACAATGTGCAGACTATCAATTAAGTAATTAATACTTTATCATAACAGTGATGAGTGCAGGACTTAGAAAGTTGCTATAACTAATCTAGGCTTGCAACTGTGGTTAAATCCTGAAGTTTATGCTGTATATAAATATTTCTCCTTTTACAATTCTTGTAAACAGAAACAGAATATCAAAAGAGTATAAAGGAATGGGTAATCTGATTTGAAAACAGAGCTAAAGTGAAATGCCAATTCTAGTCTACAATTTGGATTCCAGAAATAATCACAAATGGAAGCAATTCTGAAAACAAGTGTTACAGCATTATACTGACAATATAAATACTAACAAAAATATCCAGAAATGGGTGAGAAGATGTCTTAATGAAATAAGACTGATCCACTGCTAATTTCAGACATCCATCCAGGTAATCCAATGATGAGCAATGTGTGGCTCTCCAGAAATTATCTAACTATAGGATCCAACAGCCCCTATCACTAGTCATGATACCTAGGGTCGCTTTGAGTTGTAACTCCGTGACATCTGGTCACTCATTCCCCATCCCTGATTTAGTGATCCTAAATACTGATTAAGGCTGTGGAGCAATCTGGATTCAAGGGTGAAAAGGTGACTCCAACTGTTTAAGGAAACAAGGGTTGTACCTGTTGGCAGGAAGCTGCTTCTTTTCCTGGACCAACATGGCAAAGACACATTTCATTTAAGGAAGTAGTGATGGGGGCACTTTGAATCACCTTTTCTCCTTCAGTCTGGATCTCTGTATAGCCCTAACATCATTAAGAAGTACTAAATGCAAGATAATGGTCCAATAACTGTTTTTTAAAAAAACAGCCTAATGTGATTTTTATCTTCTGTCTAGGAGGATCCTTCAACCAAAACTAAAGTTGGAATCTATTACCTAGCATTTGCTACAATAGCTCAGTGGTAACTGTTAAGCTTCCTCTGCATTTCTGAATTTTAATTAGAAAAATCAATTTTTAAAAGGCCATCCCTTTTAAAATCCCTTTACAATTTTGCAGCATGAGTTAGTTTTTGCCAGTTATTAATATATTTCGCTATGCAGTCACTATGCAAGGGCTGATTCTTAGAAATCAATAACATCTAATTTGGCTAAATTCTAAGAAGAAACAAAGATAACTAAGAATTTTCCCTTGGCTTCCTGCTTTCACCTAGGTATTCTATAGTTGCATTCATTCACATTATAAATTTTAACTTACTTCCTCATCTTTCTTTTTGAGTTCTGCTTGAACTTCCTCTAATTCTTCCTGACCTTCATCTGGGCTCATCTTCAAGCCTTCTCGAAGCATTCGGATGCCAAAAATTGCGAAGAGTGCTGTTGACACGTAGTAGGTATATATTCTGGGAATTACTGTGGTAGCATAACCAAATAAAACTAAGAACAGAAAAGCAAACAGTTCAGGTTTTCCATGAAGCAGACTTGGTTTATTTCTACTGCCTAACCACTTTTTGTTAATTCAGGAAGTCCTGTATAAAATAACTTCTTCATACCATGGACTTAATGTACACAAAATGTTATTTCCCACATTTCTACCCCACTGAAATCCAGAGAAATTGGTCCAAGAAAAAGTCAGTTTATAAAAATTAACACTTATACAGCTCTTTAGAATAGCCAAAATATTTCATTCATGATATTTTGCACTAATCCTAACTTACAATAACCATATGAAGTAGCAATTGTCCCCATATCACAAATAGGGGATAGAGAGAGTAGTTTTTTATTACATAAAATTTTTAGACTGCTCGAATGATATAGACTTTAGGTGATTTACAAGTAAAAAGAAAACAATTAAAACTAATAGAACAACACAAGCCAAATGGCCACTCTTCATCCCAGGCCAAAGGGCCATTGGGAAAGAATGGTCGCTGGTGCCTTCCAAATGTCAGAAGGGCTCCTCTAGTGGAGTGCAAAATATTTCAAATTCCAATGCTTTTCCCATCATTCTGGAAGTGTTCAGAATTCAGAATGGCTCTGTTTTGTGCTGGCAACAGTTCCCATAATGTCAGAATGGCACTGGACCATTTCTGATAAAATGGAACAACTTAGTTTAAACTGAAAATTTTCACATTGAAATGTTTCACATATATCAACATTCTGGATTTCACCTTTAGGCCATATGTTCCAGGATACAAAAGACAAAGCACTAACCGGATAGACATGTCATGAGCCCTAAGGCCAGCATAGCACCAGCCAGGACCGTTAAGCGATTATAACGCATTGCCATAATAGCAGCAATAAAGAAGGTTTTATCGCCCAGTTCTGAAACAATGATGACAGATATAGCAGCCACAAATGCATGGATGAATCCTAGGTTAGTTTTATCCAAAGAATCTTCACTAACGGAATGGATGGGAACAACCAGGGTAGGTCCTTTCTGAAAAGAAAAATAACATGTTTTTCATTCGAAGTTTTAAGGAAATCAATTCCTTATCATGCCAACAGTTAAAAATAAAAGAAAAATGCAATCCACTGGATAGTGTGCTAGCAGCTCTAAAACCCTTTACTTACCGTACATACTTGTGAATAAGCCAAGAATTTTAGGCGCCAAAATACACCCAAAAAATCGGGTTCAGCTTATCTGTGGATGGGCTTATCTGTGAGTATATACAGTAATACTTCTTTAAAATACAGGTAGTCCATGGGTTAAGAACGCCCAGGTTAAAGATGACCCATAGTTAAGAACGGAGCCCACTGCAGAAAAATTAAGTACACAATGCTTTGAGTTCATTATACAATACTATTTATACAGTATTACTATTATTCCGCTTACATACAAATTTGACTTAAGGACAGACCTTGGGAACAGAACTCGTTCTTAAACTGGGGACTACCTGTACCCATATTTCTTGTATACACTCACATATAAGCCCATCTGCAGATAAGCAGACTTTCAAATTTTTAACTAAAATACCATGAAAGATGTGGGTTGGCTTTTCTACAGGTGGCCCATTTTTCATGGTACTTTCATTAAAAATAGGAGGGTCAGCTTATCCGCAGATGGGCTTATACGTGAGTATATATGGTATTTGCTTTAAATTTAGGAGTTTATTATATGCCTCAAATTGCTGTCAACTCTTAGCAACTACAAATTTAAGAGTACTTCTTGCAATATTTTTTTGTATTCAAGACTTCTTTGAGCATAAACTTGTATGTCGTCCAAAGTCATTGAGAGTCAGGTGGCATACAATTGAATATAGTATAAAATCATCATCATCATCTCCTGATCACATATTCTCCTTGATATTTAATGTGAACTATTTCATCAAGGTTTTTATTTATCAAAGCTGAAACAAAAATATGGAAATAATTTACACTTCAGATGTTGATTCATTGGCATTCTATTTTTCACATTACCGTATTTTTCCGACTATAAGACGATACTTTTTTTCTAAAATCCTTACCCTAAAAATTG